CTGTTTATTACCAACTAGTTATATCCTCTATAGAACCACACAGTTACCTGGCTGCAGTCTGTTTATTACCAACTAGTTATATCCTCTATAGAACCACACAGTTACCTGGCTGCAGTCTGTTTATTACCAACTAGTTATATCCTCTATAGAACCACACAGTTACCTGGCTGCAGTCTGTTTATTACCAACTAGTTATATCCTCTATAGAACCACACAGTTACCTGGCTGCAGTCTGTTTATTACCAACTAGTTATATCCTCTATAGAACCACACAGTTACCTGGCTGCAGTCTGTTTATTACCAACTAGTTATATCCTCTATAGAACCACACAGTTACCTGGCTGCAGTCTGTTTATTACCAACTAGTTATATCCTCTATAGAACCACACAGTTACCTGGCTGCAGTTGTTTATTACCAACTAGTTACATCCTCTATAGAACTGACTGTACTGTTGTGCATCTGGTCTGGTCCTGTTCTAGAGCACTCAGTGGATTTATCTGATGACCATATGGTGCTGCTGAAGGGCTGCAGGGTGGAAGGGATTAGCTGCCATGATGTGTTGCTGGACTTTTCAAAAAGAAAAGGAAAGCCGCACACTCTAGGAGCTCAGATGCAATATTTTAATATCTTAATAACCAACGTTTCGACAGAGAAGCTGTCTTCATCAGGGTATAATGACAAACACTGCGGGTCACTGGTTTACATAGTGTGAAAGGACACACGCAGGTGTCTGTAATCATGGCCGGGTGTGGCCTAATAGCATTGGCCAATTCACAAATAAAAACATACAAAAAACATGGATAGCATATGATCATAGATACTTAGCTACATAGGCCCACAACATTTACAATGAATAGCAAAATCACAAGAATGGCTTCAAATCAAAGTCTACGTTGAGACCGAAGGGAGCAAGGGTCTTCAAATTAAAGATCCAGGCAGCCTCTCGCTTTAACAATAAGTTGTCGAGGTCACCCCCTCTCCTAGGGAGGGTGACATGTTCTATGCCGATATAACGTAGGGAAGAAATCGAGTGGTTCGATTCCAAAAAGTGGGCAACGACTGGGTATGTCGAGTTTTGGCACCTAATGGTGCTACGATGTTCCGAGATTCGTACTTTTAATTCGTGCTTTGTTTTACCCACATAATTTTTACCACAAGGACAAGTTATAAGATAAATAACTGCCTTAGTGGAGCACGTAATAACACCTTTGATTGGGATCTGTTTCCCTGTTTGGGGGTGTTTGAAGGATCTACATTTGTAAGTGCCATTGCATTGAGCACAGCCGTTACACTTGTAGTTTCCATCCGGTAGAGGCGCAAATAGACGTTGTGCAGGGATATTTAGGGGTGGTAAATCAGAGTTTACCAATTGATCTCTGAGATTTCTGCCCCGCGAGAATACGACCAAGGGAGGGTCTGAAAACACATTACCAATACTGTCATCGGATCTTAGAATGTGCCAATGTTTGTGAACTGGACTTTAACAGGAAACCTGAAAAGCTGCTGCAGACCTCCAGCAGGAGGCCAGATCAGCTGCTGCAGACCTCCAGCAGGAGGCCAGATCAGCTGCTGCAGACCTCCAGCAGGAGGCCAGATCAGCTGCTGCAGACCTCCAGCAGGAGGCCAGATCAGCTGCTGCAGACCTCCAGCAGGAGGCCAGATCAGCTGCTGCAGACCTCCAGCAGGAGACCAGATCAGCTGCTGCAGACCTCCAGCAGGAGGCCAGATCAGCTGCTGCAGACCTCCAGCAGGAGGCCAGATCATAACATGTTAACTACTGTGGAGAGAAAGTTATTCACAGAGAGAGAGAGAGAGATAGATAGATAGATAGATAGATAGATAGATAGATAGATAGATAGATAGATAGATAGTAGATCGATAGATAGATAGATAGATAGATGATAGATAGATCGATAGATAGATCGCTCGATAGATGATCCAGCTCGATCGCTCGCATAGATCGCTGCTCGCTCCTCGAGCAGAGACGCGAGCGCGAGCGCGCGCGCTCGCGAGCGAGAGAGCGCACGCCGCGACGAGCGAGAGAGACGCAGCGCTCGATCGCTCTCTAGCTCTCAGTCGCTCGCTCTCTCGCTCGCATCGCTGCTGCTCGCTCGCTCGCTCCTCGCTCGCTCGCTCGCTCGCTCGCTCGCTCGCTCGCTCGCTCGCTCGCTCGCTCGTCGCTCGCTCGCTCGCTCGCTCGCTCGCGCGCTCGCTCGCGCGCTCGCGCGCTCGCTCGCTCGCTCGCTCGCTCGCTCGCTCCTCGCTCGCGCGTCGCGCGCTCGCTCGCTCGCTCGCTCGCTCGTCCTCGCTCCTCGCTCGCTCGCTCGCTCGCTCGCTCGCTCGCTCGTCGCTCGCTCGCTCGCTCGCTCGCTCGCTCCCGCTCGCTCGCTCGCTCGCTGCTGCTCGCTAGCTCGCTCGTCGCATCGCTCATATGATATCTCACCACAGGCCCAATTACCTGGCGGAAGGGAGAGAGACGGGGGAGGCAACGGCGACCTGAGCGCGAGAGAGGGAGGGGGGGGGGGGGGGGAGGCGAGGGAGAGCGCAGGGGGTGGGGCGGCGAGAGCGGCAGCGCGAGAGAGAGCGCGCGAGCGAGCGCGCGAGATCGCTAGGCGGGGGGTTGCGAGCCCGCGCGCGTGATTGCGCTCGAGGCTGGGTGGGTGAGTCTCTCGCTCTTCTCTCTCTTTTTTTTTTTTTTTTTGTTCTGGTTTTTTTTTTTTTTCTCTCTCTTTTTTTCTCTCTCTCTCTCTGCTCTCTGTTTTTTTGGTTCTTTTCCTTTGTTTTTCTCTTCTCCCTCCTCTCTCTCTTGGGGTCTCTCGCTTGATAGAGATAGGCAGAGAGAGATATCGTAGGGAGTAGCGTTTTTTGAGTGGTGGGGTTATTGTTTTTCTTACTGTTACTTTTCGGAATTTTAATTTCCCTCGTTTATTTCCCTTTCGTTTATTGTCTATTCCATTTTCTTTGGCAATGTCAACATATGTTTCCCATGCCAATAAGAGGCCCTTTGAAATTAACCCCTTCCCCATCCCGTGGAGAGAGATGGAGAGATTGAAGCTGCTGCTACCTTGAAGACAAGATGTAGTCATCTCCATGCCATTGGCTAATGTGATGTTAAACCTTCCTTTGATTGGTCTGGGACATCTGCCTGGTGCTCTCTCAGCAAGTAGAGCATCTGATTGGTCTGGGACATGTGCCTGGTGCTCTCTCAGCACGTAGAGCATCTGATTGGTCTGGGACATCTGCCTGGTGCTCTCTCAGCACGTAGAGCATCTGATTGGTCTGGGACATCTGCCTGGTGCTCTCTCAGCAAGTAGAGCATCTGATTGGTCTGGGACATCTGCCTGGTGCTCTCTCAGCAAGTAGAGCATCTGATTGGTCTGGGACATCTGCCTGGTGCTCTCTCAGCAAGTAGAGCATCTGATTGGTCTGGGACATCTGCCCGGTGCTCTCTCAGCAAGTAGAGCATCTGATTGGTCTGGGACATCTGCCCGGTGCTCTCTCAGCAAGTAGAGCATCTGATTGGTCTGGGACATGTGGTTACCGTGGTTATCGTGTGGAGTTGACTACAGTTAACACCAGTAGTGTTTACCTACTGCAGTAAGTCACAGAAGAGAAACCCCTTCACATCTTGGTGGATGCTTTCCCACAGGCTGGGCTGCTGAAGAACGAGCAGTGACTCAGCCTTGGGGTCAAATATAGGTACACTCAAATCTCAAGTTACTAGAGAGATGTATGGTATTTGCCGCTATGCCATTTCCCCTCATAGGGTTGTAATCCCAACATTGGAAGATCACCCTGCATAACTCACATTTGCTCGTAAATACTTTGCTGTCAATAAGAATTACAAAGGGGGGGGGTTATATTTTTCTATTTTCCTGTTCCAAGACCCAATACACCCGGTCTGCCGCTAGGGGGCATCAGATTACGGCGACATCTCATTATGCGCTCTCATTGGTGCGTAAAAGCGTTTCCATTGATCAATGTTACAAGCTAATAGAGGAGAAACTACATGTATTACATCCAGTATGCTGGCCCAAATGTAATATCATAACAATAAACAACGAATAAATCAGAACAATACAATGTATCCATTTGTATGGAGCCATTTAATCCCCATCGGTAGGCTGTATGTAAACACAGGCACACAGGGAGATACAGAGCCGTGTTATCAGAAATACACCAATGAATGTGCGGCATGCTAGTTCATCTCTCTAAACCCCGATCTCTCCTAAACCAATCAGAACTCTAACAAAGCAGAATTCTGGTAAACCAATAGGCCTAGTTTTCACCTGGCACTACCCCTACTCCACTAGCGCACAGACCAGAGGTCTTCCTCGCTCCTTATATGGCTGACCCGCTCAATTGAGACGTCAGAGGCACACCCGTCATGTCCAAGCACATTATCCCATTCTACAGGACACGTCCAGCCATCATCAAAACCCGCTTTCTCTCGCTGCTGTCTTTCTTTTTTAAGATAATTTATAACTCATTGGAATAGCACGAGCCACGGTGCGGCTATTTTAATGAACCCAGTTGTAGTTGCTGCGTCACCGCCTCAGCTCGAGACAACACGGGATATCTGATTAGTGTGCGCGGTTTTACTGGGTTGGTTAGAGGGAATAGAGAATGACTCACATTTTGGAAACGGGATTGCTTTGACTCGTGTGGATTCTGACTGGATGCATGTGTGTTTTAATTAGTGTGTTTTTCCCTTGGTGTTTCTGATGGTGCATCACTCAGAGTGGTTCTATTCTCTGGACCGAGCTATTTAGAAATGTTACTTGAATTTTCTGAGTGGCTAACTATATTCAGTGAGATTTTTTCCCCGCATTCGTCAGCCACGGGCACTTTACATACTGTAATGCTTTATGCATCTACATTACAGAATATAATGTTGCAATAATTTAGTATTTATATATTTGTGCCTTTACTTGACACCCGCCGGCAGCGCCTGGGGTAACAACGAAACATAAAGTGTTGGAAACACTGACGGATAGATATGGCAATGGTAACCTGGAGAAACGGCAAGGAAGATGTCGCCGGTGACTCTCAAGGCGGAATCTCTACCCGGGTCTCTCAAGTCGGGCCGTTATCCCTCTCTACCGACCTAACGGGACACCTCAATCCCACATCGGGACACCTCAATCCCACATCCTCTCTGGATATCTCCTCAACACCTCAGACACCCCAAGGCGCTCATTCAAGCAATACATCTCAGTCTATCACTAGCCAAACGTCGACCAACTCCATGGACAAACAGCAGCCCCAGCAGATCGGGTGTGTGGTGTGCGGGGATAAATCCAGCGGGAAGCACTACGGCCAGTTCACATGTGAGGGGTGTAAGAGCTTCTTCAAACGAAGCATCAGACGGAACCTCAGCTACGCCTGCCGCGCCAGCAGGAACTGCCCTATTGATCAACACCACAGGAATCAGTGCCAGTACTGCCGCCTCAAGAAATGTCTCAAAGTGGGAATGCGGAGAGAAGGTAACAACCTTGTTTCTCATCTCCCTTTAGGTCACTGTACCCTGTAGCTCTACTCACTAGAAGCCCATTCCCTCATCTCCCTTTAGGTCCCTATACCCTGTAGCTCTACTCACTAGAAGCCATTCCCTCATCTCCCTTTAGGTCACTATACCCTGTAGCTCTACTCACTAGAAGCCCATTCCCTCATCTCCCTTTAGGTCCCTATACCCTGTAGCTCTACTCACTAGAAGCCCATTCTCCTTAGGTCCTATAATAAAGCCACCCTAGAATCCTTCTATTCTATATGGCCCTGTTATGTAGCTTTCATGAAAGCCATCACCTACTGTCCACTAAGGCTTGACCTGTATGATTATAACTAAACCACCGCTCTCCCCTTAGATACTGTAGCTTACTCACTACCATTATTCATTCCTTAGGTACTTAACGATAGGCTCTATACGAGAATATTCCCGTAATTCCTTGTCTATACTGTACCTCACTAATAAAGTATCCCATGTTGGTCTATCGGCTCCCATGAGCCTTATCTTGTCCTATACCGGACATCAAGAAGCCACACTCCTTGGTGCTTACCATGTAGTATCACTAGAAAATTAGTTTATCACTAGTACTGTAGAACTTATACGAAGCAAGCGATACAACCATGGTTTGTTCCATCGGGTATTGCTTGATTCAGAATGACTGTAACCCTTTTCCAAAACTAAGCTGATGTCATGATTGTAACCAAACAGGCTTTTAAAGACATTCATATATCGTCGCTTATTAAATCTCGTGTTAGGTTAGAGAGGGTATGATATCACGTGCACGGTCATGTCTTCCTAACCAACGGAGACCCTCTCCAATGCACTCCATTTGTATCTCCATGCTATGCGAGGAACTACCAAGGACAACGGAGCGGTGGTTTACAGTTCAAAAAACTAATGGGACTAGAACCTTTGAAGCAAGCGATACGGACATGGTTGTTCCGTCGGGATTGTAGGCACGAAACATACCCGTTTTCCCCAACCTCAGCACACAGGTCGTCCTTGTCAGGACGCACTTTGCGAGACAATTGTCGTTGCTGAACACGCCGGTCAGAGCGGGAGGTGGTCTAGGGCCCTAACCAACGGAGACCCTCTCCAATGCCACTCCTACCTATCTGGATACATCTCCCTGCTCATGCGAGCCGAGCCCTACCCCACATCCAGACACGGCACGCAGTGTATGCAGTCCAACAACCTCATGGGGATCGAGAACATCTGTGAGCTGGCCGCCCGGATGCTGTTCTCGGCGGTGGAGTGGGCCCGAAACATCCCCTTCTTCCCCGACCTCCAGATCACCGACCAGGTCGCCCTGCTCCGGCTCACTTGGAGCGAGTTGTTCGTGCTGAACGCGGCCCAGTGCTCAATGCCGGTGCATGTGGCTCCTCTCCTGGCGGCTGCAGGGCTGCATGCCTCCCCCATGTCGGCGGAGAGAGTCGTGGCTTTCATGGACCATATCCGGATCTTCCAGGAGCAGGTGGAGAAGCTGAAGGTTCTGCATGTCGATTCAGCCGAGTACAGCTGCATTAAGGCTATAGTTCTCTTTACGTCAGGTAAACACACCAATGCTATGCTTCACTGCTGTTTACCATGACTGGTATCAATACAGATCTAAATATAGACAAGCATCACCCTCATCAGCAACAGGGAGGCTGTAGTTGTGTTCCCCAAATCACCTCAAATGAGGTAAACTATAGCAATTACCCCTCAAATTCAGTTTTCAACCAATCCTATGAGTTGAATGCCGAATGGGAAAACCTAATAGGCCTTGGCCTTCGAAAAACACCTGCAACAACATTCAGACAATTGGATTCAACAACGTTCATGAATTATATCAATATATGATGATTTTACATATATATATATATATATATTTTTTTTTTTACAATAATTAATATAGGCCCCTGTGAATTGTATTATATGATTAATAATAAATACTATTATTGCCGTTTGATTGAATTAATTTGATTTATTTTCAAACTAATAATAATAATTATTATCAAAATATTTTACAGGCTAATTTTGTTCTGTATAAATGGTTGACATTTTACACAGAAATGTAGGTCATTCACCTACCATGATCTTTGCCATACAACTCAACCTTTACCGACAGAATAGGAAATATTTCATAATAAAGAATAAAGAAAAGTCTACTTATATTTAATTTCGTTTTGCAGAATGTCTTAAATGCCATAATTTATTTAAACAACTAGGCCTAAGCCTGAAAGGTCTTCTGGTGGTGAGATGAATGAAACATATTGTTTTATGTCCTATAAAAAAAGAAACCAAATAATGTATTTTGTCAACTCAAGTCGATGGATGCCTTGACTGACAGTAAAAGAAAGGAGTATACGTCTAGTCACGGCAGAGCAAGGCCATGAGCAGGGTTCATTCTGTGGACGTGTTGTGGAACTAGAACATGACCCCTCATTCACCCCTCACGGCAGAGCAAGGCCATGAGCAGGGTTCATTCTGTGGACGTGTTGTGGAACTAGAACATGACCCTTCATTCACCCCTGTATTGTAGCCCTGCTACACTCTTAGAAAAGAAGGTGCTATCTAGAACCTAAAAGGGTTATTCGGCTGTCCCCATAGGAGAACCCTTTTAATAACCTTATTTTGTTCCAGGTAGAACTCTTCTGGTTCCAGGTAGAACCCTTTCCACAGAGGGTTCTACATGGAACCGAAAACGGTTCTACCTGGCATCAAACAGGGTTATTCTATGGGGACAGTCGATTAACCCTTTTGGAACCCTTTTTTCTAACATTGTATCCTCAGATAACATGGAGGTAGCAGCAGGGAATGCACCGCAGCGTTGCATTCAGAATTATGTTTTTCAAATCTGCTTTTAAAAATGCATTTGAAGAGTGCATCTATAGTGTGAAGCAGTCTGAACACGTGATTATGGGAGTAAAGGCCTATAGGACTGTTTGTGACGTTATTGCGGACCCGTTTCATTTTCAAACAGTGGGCCATGTTCTATTGATAAGCCCCTGTAGCGCCATTTTGAGTTAAGCAAATACGGCATCATTTGCTTCGTCGAGTTTTTAACACAGTTAAATTGATTTCATAAGTTAGAGTGGGCCTATATATCCACACAACACACTGTATTAACAATAGCCTATATTAATATTGATTTCGGAAAATTGCAGTAGGCGGTAAATGTCTACGTCATAATGGCTGCATTTACACAGTCAGCCCAATTATGATATTTTGCCCAATTATTGGTTAAAGATCTGATTGCCCAAAAGAGCAAAAAATAGATCGGAATTGGGCTGCCTGTGTAAACTCAGCCATTGTGTTATTTGTATTTCATTGATGATCTAATATTAACCTATATTGCATTGTTCACGAGGAAGATAAGCCTATATTATTGATAATGATTTATGATTTTAATTTAGTTCTTTGTTTGTATAGATGCGTACGGTCTGTCAGACGTGACTCACGTGGACGGTCTTCAGGAGAAGTCCCAGTGCGCCCTGGAAGAATACACCAGGAGCCAGTACCCTAACCAACCGACCCGGTTTGGGAAGCTACTACTCCGTCTGCCCTCTCTACGCACCGTCTCCTCGTCCGTTATAGAACAGTTATTCTTCATCCGGTTGGTCGGAAAAACCCCAATAGAAACTCTCATCAGGGATATGTTGCTTTCCGGAAGCAGTTTTAATTGGCCTTACATGTCAATGCAGTAGAATAAGAACATTCCAGAACACTCCAGGAATGGAATCATAGAACTAGAATGGTTCTATGGATGGAACCTTAGATGCTGTCAGAGGAACAGGCAGCATTCTAAAGCAGCGGTTCCCAACCTTTATCGGTTACTGGACCACCAACTAAAGGTTGCTCTGCCGGGAGTACCAAGTACCCCCTCATGTGCATTTTACCAGTAGACCTATGGTCTCATGAGTTTTCCCGAGTACCCCTGGTTGGGAACCACTGATCTAAAGCATGAAAAGAGACTAATGAAATGGCGGGGATCCTCCTCAAAAAACCCTGTATGTATATGTATTGTGTTTGTTAATGATGTTGGATAAACATTTTTTAAAATTTTTTTTTTTACAAATGTTTTTCATTTGACCCTGGATAAGAAAATGACAAGGGAATTGTTTTAGTTTTTTTCCTACTTCATCTTTTGTGTCTTTTTGACTAATATGCTCCAAACATGGCACTAAAAACATGAATAGTTACTTTAAATATTTCTACAAACACAATAGTCAATAAACACAGTAGTCCAGGGGTACTCAAATACTATTTGAGAAGATCCAGTCACACAAATGTCCTTGATGGCAAAGGTCCAGATGGATATTGTCATTTATCGGTGTAACAAACCCCCACCTCTCAACCCATGCGACCCCAAACTGTTAAACTGTTCACACCCCTTAGCAGTTTTAAAGCTAATTTCCTGCAATTCTACACATTTTCCATGTCTTATGTGTGTTCATATGATACCAGGAGTCGAATCCCGACCAAATTAAAATTGAACATTTTTACGTTTTAAAAATGTGTTTTTTTAAATCTCGGGAACCACGGTCCTTATTGACTCCGTTCTGGGTCCGGATCCCACGGTCCTTATTGACTCCGTTCTGGGTCCGGATCCCACCGGTCCTTATGGACTCCGTTCTGGGTCCAGATCCCACGGTCCTTATTGACTCCGTTCTGGGTCCAGATCCCACGGTCCTTATTGAATATGGCTGGTAGAGTGTACCATATTGCCAATTCATGTTACCACCATCCCGCTGACAGAGAACTATATTCATGTTACCACCATCCTACTGACAGAGAACTATATTCATGTTACCTCCATCCCACAGACAAATAACTATACTTATTTGAACTGTAACCTAAATCATCATTGTATGCACTGTATATATATTTTCTATTTTATGTTTTGTTTACCCCATATGTAACTCTGTGTTGTTGTTTTTATCGCACTGCTTTGCTTTATCTTGGCCAGGTTGCAGTTGTAAACGAGAACTTGTTCTCCACTGGCTTACCTGGTTAAATAAAGGTGAAATTAAATAAATAAATAAAATAAATATATCTGGCAACTTTCATGTGGTGGTTACCTGCGTTTCTACATCCGTATTACTTAACAAATAAAGTCAATATGGAAAATCTATTTTCCACTCCTCCTTAAGAAGATACATCATTTAGGGATTCTATACTAGATCATCCATCAGATGGAATGAGCAGTGTTGTTGGGAATGATTTATACCTCAGTAATATGCTGTTTCACCGCAGGGTATTGGGAACCTTTAATACTTTCTGTGGCTGCTGCAAATGACTGCAGCTGATGTGCTTGTGTGTGTGTGTGTGTGTGTGTATTTTATTGATAACAATTCTGATTTGGGTTTGTTGATTTTGAAACAACACTCTGATGTACTGTGACAAAGTATTGCCATACCATATTAAATTATAAATCATGATTTATAAATAAAATGTATTTCTCATTAAAATGTCTGTAGTTACGGTGTGTGTGTGTGTGGACACAGTGCTGCCGTGGGATGTGATATCGGTGTGATCAGTAGTTATTCCTTCCAACTAGACCGTCTAAATCACAGTCATCTCTTTCTTAAACTGGCGCCATACTGGTGTCACCATTCATTGGAGTTTCTGCCATTTCACGTTACGATATTTCACAAGCCAACACCATAAAGAGATACTGTATTCAAAAAGCAATCATGCAGTCAATGGGTCGTAAAGCATTTATCGCTTTGGATAAAAATAGAATAGATGTATTTTCGTGACTGGAAAATACAAAATAATATATCGTTTCCTTTCAAATGTACAGACAGCTTACTAGTAGTAGGCCTAACGTTGTTTACGCAACATTACTGAACCAGATGTAAAGACCAGTGGTGGAATTGTCTTGTTTCTAGGCCTATTTGAAGGCTTATACTATTTACGCCCTATGTTTATTTCAACGTTTACACGAACTAGGTCTACAGTTGGCCTGTGTTTATAGGCCTAACACGGACTAATCAAATATCTCCATTATATAAATCATTGCGTTGCCAGGTAAACTCTAGTCAACAGGGCGTGAGTTCAGGCGGGTGATTATGATTGGCTCCCGCAGGGTCACGTATTAGCGCTCAGACAGCGACCTAATGAGCGCCGGCTCAGAGCCGTGTCACACGACCTTAAACCGTCAGGACCGCAATATATTCATAATAATACCTCAATATTTAGCCTACCACAATACGTAGGCCTATACGTAGTTCTGTGTTATAGCTAGGCTAAAGCTTTCTGTTTGGGCATACAATTGACAGTCTTTCACCACTATTTTAACAAACCTTCAGCTTCTTAACTGAAGCTCTACATAATGTAATATTACTTTGATAAATAACAATACACGTCTACGTCAAATTGTTCGTTTAAAAGTCTACTATTAGACCTACATCTATTTTATAACCGCTTATGCACTTCTCAGATATTGTAGGCCTGAAAACATTAAATAAGTCCCAACATTGAAAATATGACCTCAAAGATGATTCATTTATTTATTTGATTTAACAGGCCTATTCACTCTGTAGGCCTATCGAATGTTTGAGTTCAGAGTATTAAATTACACACCCATTAGCCCTAGGCTACTGTCATTTTTCTATTTCACTAAACTTACACTAAACCAAGGTGTATATGTATATATTCTTAAATCCCATTCCTTACTAGTTTTGTGTGTTTTAGGTTTATGTTGTGAAAATGTTAGATATTACTTGTTAGATGTTACTGAACTGTCGGAGATAGAAGCACAAGCATTTCGCTACACCCGCTAAAACGTCTGCTAAACACGTGTATGTGACAAATACCATTTTCTTTTATTTTATTTGATTTCAGACACATGAGATGCCTTAAAAAGCAGCAAGAGCAACAGACCTTGTAAAATAAATAGTCTTAACTTGACAGACACTTTATTTGCCCAATAACATCCGGAATTGTACATTTCTATATGAGGCTAACTATAGGTTACCGCCACGGGACTTTCACGGCCATTGAGGCCTAAATCCTTTTAATTCGATGTAAGTAATGTAAATGTTTATTTTGCGGTGATTTGATAATAGTTGATAAATGATCAAATAAAAAATAATAATACGCCCATTTGTATTTAATAAAAATGTTTTCAAGAGATCTGCAATGTTATTCTCAGAATTAAACGTTTTTATTGTTGTGTTATAAATTACTATAGTTTTTAGGTGTTGACCCAAACTGTTGATGTCATAGGCTTATTTTCTTCTAAAGAAAATGTAATTTTTTTTAAAAAAACAGTTTAGGTAAATGTATCAAATAGCGATGTTAAGATGTTAGCTAATACCCACATCACCCCCTGCCTCAACTCTAAATCCTTGTTTGAAGTCTATTTTCTTCATGACCTTTGAACTTTAGGTGTCAAACGGCCAATTCCAGGAATGCTGAGTAGCCAGTCCTAACTTCAGGCCTATAATATTTATAGGAGTATAATTCTGAAATATTTCTAGTATAATTGTAGTTATATTGACTGTCGTTTCTTTGATTGGAGTTGAAGGACTATGAATATAATATACGGAGTGAATACACATGTAAAGAGATGGACAACTTTAGCAGGTTAACACGCTGAATTTCTATAGCCTAATCCTCAGAATGTATTGAGTTAGGATTTATTTCAACTCAATAACTGCAAAATTATATTAATGTAATTCAAATATATTTATTATAATGTAGCCTAATGAAATTAATGGAACATATACATTTTTACTTCCCAGGGAAACTGTTTATTGTTCACGCTTTTGAGGAATAGACCTATCAATAAAGCTAGTGACCAAGGTGTATACTACGATTGTCTGGATAGATTGACATTATAGTTGCTTATATAACGGCTTTACATTGGTCACCATTTGTAGCTGTAGGCCTCAGTAATAACCGATGCCATGAAACAATTATTGAATTATAAAGGAAGGAAATTGGCATTATGCTATTTAAATTTAGTCACTAGTATTGTTTAATTATATGAAATTGCAGCAATAAAATAAAGTTGTCAGGCTGTAACTGTGTACTTTCTAAACTCCACAACTTGTTTATGGATGAAAGATGTTCTTTGTATTTGACGATAACATTACATAGCTTGGTGGGACTCAGCATCTCTTTTATTCTATTCAAACATTATCGATTTTTCTCAAATACAAATTCACGCAAATTCAACACAGTATTTGTTTGATATATTGTAGACGGACAATTAAATCAGAGTATTTTGATATCGTCTGACCCAGAAAATGTTGCGTCAGCTCTATAGTTGAAACCGTTCTGTGAGGACTGTCGTCGGTGAATCAAATGTCTAACGTGCAACGCGCCCTCCAGGTCAAGACAACAGAAAGACTGAAGACGTTCAGCAAACCCACGGATAATCATGATTTGTTTTAAATCAGACAAACCATTTCTGTTCATGAAGGTCATCTAGCCTACACTAGGCAATATTCAAAGTAAATAACATAGAAAAGCACTACCAATAGATGATGTACAGTTGAAGCCGGAAGTTTACATACACTTGGGTTGGAGTCATTAAAACTCGTTTTTCAACCACTCCACAAATTTATTTTTAACAAACTATAGTTTTGGCTAGTTGGTTAGGACATCTACTTTGTACATGACACAAGTAATTTTTCCAACAATTGTTTACAGACAGATTATTTCACTTATAATTCACTGTATCACAATTCCAGTG